TCCAGAGCACACATAACTGAGGCACAATGAATTACAATAGCATGTTCAGTAAAACTAAAGTGTGTATGACCTGTGAATCATCTGTTTTGATCTGTCTGTCCTTCTTGCATTGAAACCTCTGTTCAAGTGCATTGTAAATGTTCCTCTTAATTATCAAGGTGTGATTTTGAAATGCTAAAATATTCTGTTGCTGCTGAAAATACATCCAGATTAAAATACAAAGTGAACAACATAATAAATGTGCATGCCATGCAGTCTCTTCACTAAAAGAGCACATATTTATTTATAGGGAGATTTTTTTAGTTTGTGTTAAGACATTCCCATTTTTAGTAAGCATGAATATGACAAAAATGTACCAGAAGCTCCATTTATTTTGACAACACCTAATCAAACACTCATTGCAATCTCAAAGGCCAACTCTACATGCTACCACTGCAATTTCCCAATACTGGAGAACATTACAGTGCATTGTCATTCATGTTTGTAAGTTATTTGTTTTATAAAACAGATGAGTGTCCATTTCCCTTACAATGTGCATTGTTCTACCTGGATCATAGAATGTGCAACTGTTGAAGTATAGTATTAAAGACTGCAATAATGGGTTATTTGATCACTAGGGGTATGAAATACTCCAAAACAAACTCACAGGAACTATTTCATGAAGTTCTTTAGGCTAACATATTAACAAGAAACTGCCTTCTTACACATCCAGTAGAAAGAAAGCAACAGTTATCTTTTGTGTCATTTTTCTAATAATCACAAGAACTTTTTCCTTCTTTGGTCTGACAGTTTTTTAGAAAAATATGAAACTCTTTGACTTGCAAAATGTACCACTCTGCATGTCAGCAAGCCATTATTTCACACCAGACGTCTGGTAACGTGTGAGCAGTGTTAATTCTTAATGGATTTGGCAGTACTAGCAACGATTTCACATTATTGGAAATCATTCGATTGTGAGAAATACTGCTTCATGCAACTTCAGGAAGAAAGTCTGCATATGAACCGTGCCTTTATTCTGACACACATGAAACTACGAAGCTGAGCAACAAGTTGTGGCTTAAGATGAAGAGAGAATTGTACTCTGCTGACACACTGTGATTAAAAAAATCAACACACACTCGAAAACTCAATAAATCAAATTTGAGAAATATTTTTGATAAAGTTTTTTTACTATGTGCATGCCAACCATTACTAAGAATGTTGACCTTGTTATTCAATCATAAGTTTATAAAGAGGTGGTATTATGCTTTTTGGCTTTTTCCCTCTCCTTTATTGAGTTATATATCTTTTTGGTGCATGTAACAGGTTTGCAAAGTGAAAAAGCCCAAAGTCCAGCCCAAAGGGAGTTCCCATCTCCCACAGAAAGCTCTGCTCTGCTTAGTTTGTAGTCCAGCCCTTCACTTCCTTTACTTGTGACGTCACAATGAAATCGCGTCAGAAAGCTTGTCAAGCGGCTAGCAGGGTCAGGCACGCCCTCAAACCAAGCTAGTCTGAGCGGAGGCCCTTCACTCGCCTTTGTTTGGGTTTCCATTGTAGAAATGTTTTTTTGTATCACCTCCGTCGAGGTTCCAAGCGAGCTGAGGGAAACTAAAATGTAACGTGAAAACACAACAGACTGCTGATTGGTCAGAGAGAATATTCTCTATTCACTGCATCATCATTGTGTGCGCCTGACAGTGGCCACCAACAGAAAATTTTATATTTTACTGTTTTCGTATGTAATTTCATCACTAAATCCACTTCTGAGAATTTTTGAGGTGAGAAATCAGCTGTGTAGATTTTGAATATTGACAGTTTTATGAGAAGTGATGGCGGAACAAAAATGTGCTTGAATATTTTCGGAGTTGAGGAGCTCTGCAAGTGGCTGCGGGGGAAGCCTGTGCCAACCCGCGAGAGGAGCGTGTGAGGCCGGCCAGCCGCCCGTTCACAGAGCCCTCTGCTCCCACCGTCACACAGACCACTGCAGCAACAACGGCAGAGGAAAATACAGCTGGAAGGTTTTCATACCGCTTATCTGTCTTTACATTCTGAGGAATGTTGAAACGTTTTAACTTAAAAAAGAGAAAGCTGTGTGGATCGCTGGTGTGTGTGTCACATTGAACATTACGTCGCGGCAGTTGAGTGTGGCGTTGCTATGACGACAAGCTACGTACTATCTCTGGGTACTGCAATGGAAAACAGAGCAGGGCCGAGAAGAGTCGAGGCTATCGATTTGCGCTATGGTAGTATTTTTCGGCAAGGCAGCATAGATCGTCAGAACACCGGCAACAGTTCGACGTTTAGTCCTAAAAGACGATGCAACTCCAACTCTGTTTGGGCCTGGAAATTCACAATCACAACCTGTAAGTATGCTTTATTGGTTGTGAATTATATTTAAAATAAACACGGCAATGTAACTTCACAGACTGTTCAAGTGCGGAGTTGTTGTAAACGTTGGCTAACACAGCTAAAGTTAAAACTATAATGCTAATGTTACACCTGATGTGAAAGTTACTGAGCAAACGTTCAAATTGTTTGTCCAAATTTTATGTAAAATTGAGTTGAAATATGGTGATTTTTACAGTGGTTTATGGTAAAATATGGAACAATGATGTTGTGTGGTTGTGAACTTGTGAGTAACTTATACCATCTGTTACGGTCGCAGTCTGAAGCGGCTTTGATTTGGATCACACTTCTGATTGGCTAGTAGTCCTTACCTGGGAACTGCGCGTGTGCAACTCCCAACAAAGATTTTGTACAAGGAAGATGCATCCCTCTGTAGCTCAAGAGTGGAGCGTACAACACACAGGGTGAAAAGAGGATGTTTTGGTGCCACCAATTAACCTAGCCTGCATGTCTTTGGATGGTGGGAGGAAGCTGGAGCACACGGAGAGAACCTGCAAACTCCACACAGAAAGGCCGGGGTTTGAACCCATGACCTTCTTGCTGTGAGGCAACAGTGCTAACTGCCTAGACCTAACCTAATCTTCAAATATTATTTGATAAAAGTTTCAGCCTCTAAATCTATAATTCCTGTAGATAAAATGTATCACACACTGAGTAACTACACTGTCTTAAACTCTGATATTACAGCAATCCTCTGGAAATATTAAGCAGTCCATTTTACAGCTTAGCTGATTTAATGATAGCATATTCAAATCTGATAATGTTGTCTTTAAAAAGATTGAATACACATTGGAAAGAAACATTTGAGAAAACATTAGCATCCTTGGATAATTCTCAATGCATGATTTACATGAATAAGATCAATCAATCTGATCAGGGACAATGAGATGTGGTAATACAACAAGAGGATAAATCTATTCATTTATGATGGCAAATAAAAATACACATTGTCAAATGTTATATTAATTCCATTAATTTGTTTGTATTGAGTATGAATGCAGTCTGTTCGGTGCAGAAAAATATCGCAGACATATTGACAGGGTGCCTACACCCTACGTGTCAGAGTTTGCTTCTCGGTCCTATCCTGCAGCCACACACTCTCATCCATAGCCCTCTGCATTATTATCTCTATCTGTCCCTGTCTCTAGCCACGACTCCATCAGCTGTCCATCAGATGCCCTCAAACTTTCCCTCCTTTCCCCATCACCTGGCTGCCCGAACCATCTGTATACCTATTCCCACTTCTCTTATCAGCCCTTCAGTTCCCTGGCCTACTGTAGCCACCCCTCACCTGCAATTTCTTCTCTCAACAGCCACTCATCAGATATACAAGTTCACCTCCTTTTTTTCCTTGCCAGATTGTATGTTATGTTACTTTGTGCTTCATGTCTTAGCTCTATTGCATCTGTACCTGTAATCTGTTTACCTGAGACCTGTGTCTGGAACCTATTTCTGCCTGCCAGACCTGTGTGTTTGAACTTTTCCTTTGACCTTTTGCCTGTTATGGGACTTTGGATTCCTGTCTGCTTCTTATTGTATTTCTTTGACTGTGTTGGACAGCCTTATGGTTTTGACCCTTGCCTGTCTCCCATCTCATATGCCTCAATAGTCTGCACTGGGTCTTTCCCCTGTATTCCTGCTACCCTGCTTGCCACAGTTGTGAGATTACTCACATAAATACGTATGAACACATGCAGGCACACCCCCCTCTACCCCCCAACACAGAGCACCAGCTTTACCTTTTGCATGGGTTCACATCTGGCTTGGAGAACCCCCTGTCAGATAAAAACAGTCAAATTGAGAGCCAACCCCTAAAATACATTTGACCCAAACAACATCTGAGTAAGGTGAAGGCTTCTGCCAAGTCACGCAAAGTTAGTCTTAGCAGATAATTTGTAACATGCTCAAAATGTAAACACATTTCAGACTCAAGGCTGTGTACTCCCAGCAGGACGAAGAGGGGCTGAAGCCAATGAGAATGAGGGCAAATTGTCAAGACGTAACCCAGGAACGCCAGACATATAAATTATACTTACATGGTATTCCCAGACGAACATATTTTGTTTAATAAAATGCTCCTGAAATCACAAATCATTGTAATACTTTTTCTTCTTACAACATGTGGGATTCCCGTGCACTTTTCTTCATCTGCTGTTCATTAGTTATCAAAACTCAAAATTATGAAACCAGCTGTACTCTTGGCAGCGTCTTGACAGTGTCTTTACAGTAAAAAATATCACCTTGTAATGTCATCACTGAACGTATGCAAGTAGATTGTTTCAACAGCATGTTTTGTTTGCAAAACAGTTGTTATTTTGTCTTAATAATTACATATCTGTAATCGCTTAGCAGATTGAATCATAACTTTGGGTCAAATGTAAAGGTTAATAATAATGGAATCAAAAATTCTATATTAGCTGATAGAACATCAATAGTGGTCTGCTGTGGTTTTAAACCACAGCAAAAGTACACTTTTACAAATTACATTACATTGTTAGTATTGTTTGTTCATCTCTATACTTCATTTCCTTTGTTCAAATAAGCAGCTAAAGGGCTACTGTGTAGTTTGATGGACCTCATGGGATGAATAATGACTCTTTGACAATGATTTACTATTCATGGCAATGTTTTAGAACAGCAGTGTTATATTTGCATTGTGTGGGGGCATGAACACAAAAAACATGTGTCCCATATTGTAAACAGGATGTGTAGACAAGGTCAAAGTCACTGGCTGTGAAGAGCACTGCAGGGGAGGATGGAGTGAGACAACCAGAAAGGAGAGGATGACAAAGTAAGTCAAGTGAAAATAAACAGAGAGAGAGGCTTGAAAGTCTCGTGCGATGTGGAAAGGTGGTCTTGGCGCAGCGGGAGAAAGGGGAGGTCCTCAGGGGGAGGGGGAACACGCAGTTGAACTTGATGCATTTCAGGGCTGTAAACTTTCATTTCCCCAGAGGAAATTGTTATGCAACGAGGGAAATTCTATGTTTGCAGACCTTAGTACGGAACCCCCTGGAACAGCAGGTCATTGTGAAAGAGGGCCGGGACCTTCAGCAACTCACCACAACATCGCACTTTCCCTGACAGTAAATCCACACAGAGAGATATAAAGTTATGATTAAAATCATTTTTAATCACCTACAACTTTTAAGACTTGAAAGACTACTCATTTATTCATTACTCTACCATGACATTGAAGTAAAAAAAGACATCTGGCACTGCTGGCTTTCAAAGGCCATTTTAACTATGGAACATTAGGAAATTACTGCGGACCACCAAGTAAAACTTAAAACAAAAAACAAAAATCAAAATGAAGTAAATAACACTTTAGCAGTCAAATTGTACTTTCTTAATAGACCAAAGTAGATATGATCATTTTAAAGATGAACATCCTAAATGAATCCATTTATTACTGTTGCTGGTCGCATGTACCAGTATGTAGTGGCTTACATGGGATGATTGGTTTATTGTTAACACAAACAAAAGTCTTACAGCTGGATTCCATCGGGCACGGTCGTGTTATGGCTGCAATGTGGTTTTATTTCACCCTCTGCACTACTTCACATCCCACCAGAAGCTTTTCAAGAGAGAAGCATTTTACCTTCCCAGGGTTTTTAATTTTGAAAATTGACCGGATTCTCTATGCTATTTTTGTGTCTGATTTTAATTAAACCAACCGTGTATTCTCCGCGGACAGTCACTTCTGGAAGGCTTCTGAAACCCGCTGTGGCGCATCTAGTGAAATCATTAACATTGTCTATGGCGGCAATCAGTGTTCCGCGTTTCAGCTGATGATGCTTAGATAGCTTTTTTAGTCTAATAAATAAACAAAAAAAAATCACAAGATGTCAATAAAGGAAATCTTCTTACACCTATTTTTCTTATCTATTATTAACTAAATATTGTGAACTACTATTGCCTTGTTAACAATTTGTAAAACACACATCATTTAAACTCAACAGAAACAAAATAAACTCACCAAAAGCTTCTTGGTTAGTCTTTCCAGTGTTCCAACAATCACCATCTCTGTTTGGTCGAAATAAACCTGTTAGGGATCAGGACAGAATGGACACAGACCAAGAAAAAACCAGGACACTCACCGTCAGCCGGGCTGTCACCACAACAAAACCCTTAATTCACAAAGTTACATTTGAATATATTCTGTCTCTACACACTGTGGCTGCCTTTCTGATGTCCGGGCACCCTCTCACTCCTCTCCTGTTCCCGCCCAGAGTCAAGAGTCTTGGTTGGAGCCACTGTATTTGTCAAACTGGCCACTTGTCAAACTGGACTCTGTCTGTCTCTGAGGCTGTTTGGCCCGGCCGTAATCCCTATAAAGTCTGCTGCTGAGCCCGGTTCCATTGCATGCTCGCCTGCCTCCAGTATGGGCTCAGTCAGCTAATAGGACCGCTAAGTCAGCTGCATGGCTAACTGAGCTAACTAGCTTATGGCAGTTAGCAGCAGTTATATCCTGAAATGTGACAAGATGCTAGGTTTGGGTATCATTTAAAATTTTATGATACTGATACCAAAACCAGTACCCTTAAAGTGATATTGATACTAATAGAGTACTTATATTTTACATATTATTTATTTATTCAATACCTTGCGTAAAATGACACCTGTTGAAACCATAGTAGTTGATTGGTAGCCTATTATTATTTTTATTGTTGTTATGGACAAGCAAGGTTATCTTTGTTTTTTTCTTGTTTCAAATAAATAATATATAAAAGTATATAAAAGTATTGGGAAATTGTATCCTCCTCAGGTCATCCTCATGGGTAGTATTATAGGGAGAAAGACAACAGATTGCGAGTTTTTTTATATTTGAATAAGAGAGAGAAATAGTTCAGTGACCAAATTAGTAGCGGGAAACGAATATACATTTGATGAAAGTAAACAACAGAAAATGATTTTGTTAAATTTTGATCAATAAACTGTAGTGAAAGATCTCCGCGAGTGCTTTTTCCTTTATTGGCGAGTTGCAAACCTCCTCCAAATACGACAGTAACAAGTATAAAACCAGTAATGAGTCGGTTAAAACAAGTCACTAAACTACACTAAAGACTCTAAAGAAGCAAACAGAGGAAAAGAGAGGCTCCACGTCCAGCCAATCAAACCGACTACACCTGAAGCAGCCACAGCTGCAGCGCCGCAAAAGCGTTTAAAGAGGTGGTATTATGCTTTTTGGCTTTTTCCCTCTCCTTTATTGAGTTATGTATATTGTTTGTGCATGTAACAGGTTTGCAAAGTGAAAAGGCCCAAAGTCCAGTCCAAAGGGAGTTCCCATCTCCCACAGAAAGCTCTGCTCTGAACTGCTTGAAAACAGTTCGTTTGTAATCCAGACCTTCACTTCCTCTACTTGTGACATCACAATGAAAAGGCATCATAAGGCTTGCCAAGCCTGTGCCAACCCACGGGAGGAGCGTGTGAGGCCGGCCAGCCGCCCGCTCACAGAGCCCTCTGCTCCCGCCGTCACACAGACCGCTGCAGCAACAACGGCAGAGGAAAACACAGCTGGAAGGTTTTCATACCGCTTATCTGTCTTTATATTCTGAGTAATATTGAAACATTTTAACCGTAGATATATTTTAAGAGCTGGTGTGTGTGTCGCATTGAACATTACGTCGCGGCAGTTGTGTGTGGCGTCGCTATGACAACAAGCTACGTACTATCTCTGGGTACTGTCTGCAATGGAAAACAGAGCAGGGCCGAGTAGAGTCGAGTCTATTGATTTTCGCTATGGTAGCATTTTTCGTCAAGGCAGCATAGATCGTCAGATCACTGGCAACAGTTCAATGTTTAGTCCTGATGGTAAGATGTGGAACAATGATGTTGTGGACTTGAGTAACTTATACCATCTGCTAGGTTACGGTCGCAATCTGAAGCGGCTTTGGTTTGGATCACACTACCTTGTTTCTTACGACCCGCCCTTCTCTGCTTCTGATTGGCTAGTAGTCCTTACCTGGGAACTGCGCATGTGCAACTCCCAACAAAGATTTTATACAAGTAAGATGCGTCACTCTGTAGCTCAAGAGCAGAGCGTACAACACATAAGGTGAAAAGAGGAGCTGCAGCAATGTGCAGTATGAGAAAAATATGGTGTTTTTTGAAAATTAAACCATGTAAACCTGTTCTGGTACAACCCCTAATTAAGATTTTGAACCTGAAAATGAGCATAATACCACCTCTTTAATTGATGTGATGGAGCGCAGTGATCAATCAGTGACAAGTAATGTGAATAGCAAACAAAAATGTACAGAGAAGTGTTAAATGATACCAGAAGATGAAACCAACAAAAGCCAAGCTTGTGGTGATAAACTTGCAACAGAGACGAACATGCCTGAGACCGCAGCCGAAGGTGAGCAGCTGTTAAAATCATGTGTGGACTTTCTGTGTTTTGCTTGCGTATTTGGCTGCAAGCAAAACCATACAAATAGTAATTTTTTGCCGCAATCTGGTTACAAAAAGTATCGATTGAAATACTGGTTTGACTAGAGACGTTTCGATTCTACACGATACTGGGCTGTTTCGGTCAATACCATGATGGTATCGAGTAGCGATTCCCATCCCTACAAGATGCCCCCTACATTTTTAGACTCTGAATCCGACAGGTGAAGAGTAGTCTCAATCCTTACACACTGTACCTTTTAAAAGCACCGTACTTAATATTTATTGCGCTGTACACCTAACCACATAAATTCTTGTTGGTGTATTATGTTAATACAGGTGATTTTTCCAAGAATACACATATTGTGGGCAAAAAAACCTTTTGTTGCTCCAAACTAGTGTGTACGCATCTCCTTGGAGTTGAAGTTGAATTTAATGGAAACTTCCTAGCCATGACAAAATAACCAAGGCTGTATATTTCATTCATTGACCCAACTATGGTAGCAGTTGCCGCACCTAACATAAAAGTGGAATACTAGCTGACCCCACCCACAGAATACATATAATTAGTCATCAGGGTAGCTAATACCAAAATAATTTTGGTAACTGAAATTAAAAATATTGACATTTTGTGACTGTAACCAACCAAGTTTGTTTAGTATGATTTCTGAGGCATCTGATAGCCATTTGCCTGTTCAATAGCTAACATGCTGACACTAACGCTAGTGACTGACAGCCAGAAGAGATGCAAGACGGCGTGCTGACATCACATGTTGCTGTAAATGCTGCCCTAAGAGGGCTTTCAAAACTAACTCTACTTTCATAGAGACTCCTTCACTTGAAAGTGATGCCTTCTGAGGCACCTGTCTATCACGGTAGCAAGCCAGTGAGGCAACTGCTTTCTGTTTCGAACAGAGCCACTATGTGAGGTCTACTACACATACCAAGCCACCACATAAGCATCTGCCCCCACCTACTCCCCACACCGTACATTTTTAAATATTCTGGCTGGGGATATAAAATCGTAAAAAAATCGTGGGTGAACATCCTTTAGATTTTTGGTTTAAAAGCCACTAAATCATGCTCATATGTTACTAATCTGTTTGTGTCAGTATTCATTGGAGTTTTACATCCATCAAATTGAGGTGCTACTATGTGTCAAAGATACAAACCATTTTTTATTTGTAAGTTTGACAATAGCCTTCTCTCCGCAACTGTCAACGTCATATAGAAGTGGTAAATTACTTTCACTCAGTTTAGGAAGTGTAATGTTATCTCTAGGGTCACATTTAGATAAAATCAGAAAAGGTTCATAGCAAATGAGTCACACTTGTCTTACACTTGGTAAAGTACATCTCCCACTTATCATGAATCCATCTGCTTTTAAGTCAGCCCTTTAGATTAACAACTAAGATAAGATAAGATAAGATAAGATATACTTCATTGTCCCCTAAGGGAAATTTGTTTTGGACTCTGTCTGTTCTGCAGCTTTACAAGACAACACAAAATACAGAAATAAAACATCTCTCACACATATTCTCATGCAACACAACACATGCTGTCGTATACATTAGACAGTTCCCTATATAGTAGCACATTGACTCCTTCTTCCAATGCTAGTTTTGAACTAAGCATATTTGTTTCAGTAAGGAAAGGACAGGACAGGACAGGTTGTGTGCGGTAGAGGTAGAGGTTTGTGCTTGAAGCAGACTACTCCGCACAGTATCGACCTTTCAAAGCAGAACTATCGCTGCCTTGTTACATCCCAATCGTATCAGAGAGGTGTCATACCGGTTTTGAATACAGGGTGTGATTCTCATTCTGCTACTGTATTGAAACACAAAGCTGTAAACTCTGTTTTTAATTGATCTGTTTTTATAAAACAAGCGTCATTGAACAAAATAACAATAATTAGAGCAGTAAGGCCTCTTGCATTCAGATCTGTTTGATCATGGTCTCAGATTGAATCCATTCACACAAATGTAATTGGCCAGCAGATGTTTCCAATTTGACTGTAACAAATACATTGAAACTGAACCATTTTCATCACAACTGCTTCATAGTAATTTGGTGCTTCAGAAAGCTTTGTTTCCCATATCACTTATCAGAGATAATGAGTCGTTAATGTTTTCATCAACGTTTTTTAATGCGCATTTTGAAGTATCGCATTAAAAAAGGTTGATAGAAACAGCAAAATTCAGGAATAAATCCTTAATTTCGCAAAAAAGTTTCACTTGACGTGGTTTTTGCCTTTGTCGAAAAACAGTTCTTGTGCTAAATGGGAGATGAAAGCACTTTTGCTGAATAAGTTCTGACATGGTGAAATTGTAACTCATGGCTGATCAGCTGTTTCAACTGTAGGCGTCTTGCTGGATATTCTGGATGAAACACATTTCTGAGGACCTCTCTCCATTTATCTAAGATCAATGGCCATCAGTTCCATGCGGCTGGTTTTGAACCCATATGTCTTGTTTATTACAGCCATTTGTAACGTCAACTACTGATGTAACAACGCTTGCCGTAGCCTGGTTAGCCTTTGGCAATATTGTTGTTACACATTCATGCCAATAAAGCTAATTTGAATTTGAATTTGTGCCTTGCAAATACAGTACCTGTTTTGAAAACTTGCAGTCTCAGCAATTTTTATATTAAAAGAGGAGTGCTGGCATTGGTTAACAAAATGGTTGAACCCTGCTGCTACATTATGGTTACTGGATTGGAACTACATTATATCAAATAAAGTCCCAGAGAGAACTATTTAGAGTGGTGTCTGTGGGTTATCCAGTGAAACAGGGACATTATTGTTGGAAGGACATGCTGGTATTGTGTTTTTGAAATGTTTTGATCAGCACAAAGAACATTTTGTTCAACTCCATGGTTTTGGACTTTTCAAAAGGAAGAAGTCTCACAACCTTTGCAAATAAAACAATTTCCATGGCTTCATCCCATTACAGAAAAGTGAGAAAATGTGTTTTTGTGATTCGGGTGGGCTGAAGTGAGATTTACTTCTCCTTTGTAGCATTTAAAGAGGTATCCAGTTCAAAAAAAGATAATGGATGGTTTGCAACACAAAGCCACTGTTTGTGATGAAAACCTCTGAATAGGGCATGCTGGATTTTCAATTTACTTTTGCAAATATAGCATGGATGTTTAGAAGCTTTTTAACTTAATACTCTTCCAAACAAAAGTCACTCTGGATTTCAGGAGATTATCTTGAGACATACTCAAACATATATGAACAGATGTATGCACTAGTAGGAACAAGCCAACCTGGGCTTCAAATCTGAAAAACACACAGTGCAACTGTTCAAAACGTCAGTCTGAGCAGAATTCCAGGTACAGAATGTATCATAAGGTCCGATCTCTTGAAGCTGTCATACAGTTGCTCTTTGGATTTGGGGAATGATCAATAAAATGCTATGTTGAAAGACCATATTTCAAATATATTTTCATTTGTCTGACAGTATAAATAAAGAACACCGCCTGCAGAGATGACAGGTAAGCCTGGTGCGATTAATATGATTAATATGACTAATAATGATGAACTATGTTCCACTGCCATGATTCTCAAAGCACATTTGGCAGATTTCTGATTGTTTGGATTCTAATATCAGAGATACTGAAAGATCTCATTCGATAAACATCTGTTTGCCATGCAAGTCTGCGTGCGATTGTCAGTTTCATAAAAAGTGTGACAGCTCAGGTATCTTTGAAATCTCATAGAAAACAATCTGTTTTACATCACACCAAGCACATCTGGCTTTGAACAATATCAATCCATACTAATATTTTAGACTACTTTTCTTTTCTCTTCTTCTTTTGATCAGTCATATTGGAGAAATATCATCTGTGAAACTTTAATTTTGCTTTTAAGAGCACCATCTTCTTAGATCAGATTGCTGTTTTATGTACTTAATGGTCTATTTTGTGCTATGGTTCTTTAAAAAAAACATAGATTAAACAATATAGTATATTTTCTGTGGGGAGGGAAGCATGTTTTGAAAAAAGTGGAAATATTGATGGGGCTGCAAAAATTATAAAAAGGTCCAGAGAGAAAGCTCCTTAAATAGTCCAAAAACGGGGAGATGTTTTAATTGTTTTAGTTTTATTGACACTTGAAACAAAACATTCATGTTTTTATGGGAAATGTTCTTGGGAGATACGTTAACTTTAACCTAGCTAACGTTAACTAATTAACGGTACCACCATCTTAGGTAAGTTAACCTGATTGACCGAGTAAAGTGAACGGTAGTTCCCTGTGTGTTTGCCAATTTTATCGTTATAACTAACCACTTAACGTTGCACAGAAGTCAACAATTAACCTAGCCTGGCTTAAACGTCGCGGTTTATTTAACTAGCTAACCCAGTACGGTAATTTAACAGTAACAGTACGGTATTTAACTAGCTAGCACAGTCCGGTAAATTAACAGTAACAGTACGGTATTTAACTAGCTAGCACAGTCCGGTAAATTAACAGTAACAGTACGGTATTTAACTAGCTAACACAGTCCGGTAAATTAACAGTAACAGTACGGTATTTAACTAGCTAGCACAGTCCGGTAAATTAACAGTAACAGTACGGTATTTAACTAGCTAGCACAGTCCGGTAAATTAACAGTAACAGTACGGTATTTAACTAGCTAGCACAGTCCGGTAAATTAACAGTAACAGTACGGTATTTAACTAGCTAGCACAGTCCGGTAAATTAACAGTAACAGTACGGTATTTAACTAGCTAACACAGTCCGGTAAATTAACTAACTCAGTCCAGGACGTACTTCTCGTTAGTTACATTCAGCACACCATCGGCAGGTGAAGTCAGACAGGGTAAGAACTCTTTCCTTTGTACGGAGCAGTATTTCCGGCGCAGAAGAAGAAGTTGTAGTTCATTTAACTACATACCGGGAGACACGTTTCTATCCTGATTTTGTTTATGTGACTAGCTAGTGGACATTTTATTCCTTGCAAGTCAACATTTTGTGTTTGCTATTATCTACGTTAATCTAACTAACGTAGCCACTGTGACTTGTGTCTGTTAGTAGCAGCCGAAGCTGTTAGACGTTAGACGTTTTGGCGTATATCAAGCTTGCTAACAATCTAACTTAGCTTGAATCAGGTAATGTTGACTGTGCTGCAACGTGGGTTCTGATATAACTTGTCTACCGTCAGATTTCAGTGTGATAATGAAAAGAGAGATATGAAGAAAAATGTTAACTGCATGTTGTGCTCTTGTTAAGAACATTAACACAATGCTAATGTGAATTACAGTTGTATGTAGCGCTAGTTATGCTGCTTGTGTTTAGCTCACTTTTCATTTCTTCACTAAATTAACGTTAGCTTTCTCATCTAACATTAGATAATGCGCTCTGCACCTAAGCTAGTTAACGTTAGTTAGTGCCAGTTAGCAGCAGTGTTTATATTGGCTTTGTCAAGTGGAAAGTCTTGTAGCTAATGGACTGAATCTTTCAGGTTAATGCGATGTTGCAACAAGTCCCCTCCCTCTTGAAACTTATTTCCTTGTTTCCTCTCTTCATTGCTGTCTATGAAACTAACCAATAGCGATACATCAAATATGAGAATATTTTGACTTATAATGTGCCAGTATTTTGTTTGTGTATGTGGATGCTTTCATGTTTAAACTAGGAAGAGCTGATGTGATGGTCAGAAAAGATCATTATTTAGCTACTGTGGATATAAGCAGAAACATATCACAATACCCAATATCTCCCAATTCAATTCATCTGATTTGTCTGACAAAAACTTCTTGCTTGTTTAATGGATTTTCCACATTATTGCACTCTACACTTTATAAAGTTATGTAAATGTTAGATTATTTCTGTTAATATTGCTAATATTTGCATGGTTTGTTTTGTCATTCTGGTTCAGCTATGAACGTGGGGCCCACACGCTTGTACTTGTCTGTCAACATTTGAAGAGCAAGCATGAGCAGCCTGGATCAACACCAGCGTCTCCATCCTAGTTTCCGTGACAAAACAACTGTTTCTAGTGATTCATCAGATGCTCATGAGCTTGCCAAACAGCCTCTCCAAGGTCTAATATTGGCATCACATGCAGTGCTGGAGAAAGCGCAGCAGAGGGGCAGGTTGAAATGCTCTAAATGTGGAGGATCAAGGATGTTCTTCTGCTACACATGCTGCTCATTAGTGGGTGTCACTCTGCAAGAAATCCCCTTAATCAAGGTCAGTCAGAGGTTAGGACTCACTTGATTGTTCTTTTTAACAGAGGCCTTCAGCTCTGGAGTTGATGTGATAGTATCCTAATATAGTGGAAAATGTTATGTCATGTCTTTGATGTAAGATCTATGAAATGTTGCGTATGGTTGAAGTATCTTCAGGACCTGACTCTTCATATTGTATGTTGTGCCCAGCTTCCCGTGAAAATAGACATCATCAAGCATCCCAATGAGACAGATGGCAAGAGCACTGCAATCCATGCCAAGATTCTCGCACCCAGTGATGTCACGATATACACATACCCCTGCATACCTGACTTTGAAAAAGACAAGGTCAGTTTTCATCATAAAAGAATGAAGTTTATTTAAATCTTTAAGTGTCATTGTAAAGCTGTTTACTTTTTGGTTGCAACTAATCATTATTGATTAATCAGCCCATTATCTTCCAGATAATGTCCTCTTAACGAGAAAAAAAAACTAAATGTTTATTTATACTTATGCACATATGAATTATACACAGCCAAAGCGGCTGGAAGAAGGAAGGAAAAAATAAACTATTCACAGTTTGGCAAAAAAAAATTAAAATATGGCATTATGTGCTTCCACATAGAGAGGAATCTACAAAAAATAAAATCAAAAAATCTAATTAAAATACCTTAAAAGAAACCTGTTAGTTTTGGCCAATGTCACAATTAAGTCAGTACAGCACCAAATCAAATTGGTATGCTACAATAAGAAATTACAGGAGCCCATCAGTTTAAAGGTGCAGTGTGTAAGAATTGAGACTACACTCCACTTGTCCACTCTCCACTTGCAGCATATCTCACATCAGGACAGACTGCCGCTAACTGCCATTTGTTAGCTATTTAGCCACCCAGAGAACATGGCCGGACCAAACACAGCCTCTGAGACAGACAGAGGCCAGTTTAATGACAGGGAATACAGTGCCAAGGAGATTTACAGCAGCTCCAAACAGGACTCTGACTCCGGGGATGACAAGGAGGATTCAGGCAGGGAAAGGAGAGAAACAAAACAAAAGAGGAGCGATAGGGAGGCACCAGACAGACAGGGTGTAGAGCCAGAAAAAATAGATAGATAGAGATAGATAGATAGATATAAAATTTATTAAAGGTGTAATTTGGCAAAACCAGAGTTGGTGATTGTTGGAACAGTGGTAATACTAACCACAATGATTTTGGTTAGTTTTTGTTGTGTTTTATGATGAGTTAACAAGGCAATTAGTTCAGTGAAAGAGAAACTTCAATTTCTAAGCTTTACTGTTGTATTTTTATTTATGATCAGGCAAATAAGTGTATAGATAGCTTATTTGTTATAGACAAAAAAACAGCTGAGAACTTGTGTAATGTAGCAAATTTGCTGCTTGCACATCAAACAACCACACACACACTATACAGTGTGTGTCAGGTAACATTAATAGACTTGCCCACAGACATTCAGTTTACTTTCTAGTTTGCCAAGCTGTTGTTGTGATGTTAGCTATTGTAGCAGGAGAGCTATGAGTATTGATGTTCGGAGCTTTTGTGCCGACTCTGGAACAGTCTTGTCCTCTTTATATGTTAGCTTCGCAGCAGCAGCTGTAACAACAGTATGCTAACCCACAACTTGGCTAATGTTAATTACATTACTTTCTATGTAGTTATTCACTCTTTATGGTATTGGATTTCTCCAGAATCCCCTTTTCCCCCAAACCTGAATTGTCATTGCAACTGACTTTATTTATGTTAATTTTTTAATGCAAGCAGCTGCTTTTGAGCAATGTTGATACTTTTACTATGCACTAAATTGTTATTGAAGTAAATGCCTCTTTTTGTCCATTATATATTCCTGTATTTGTTGTAGTAGAACTCATTTTAGATTGATCCATACTGTATACAGCTTTCTAATAGAAAAAATGTGGTATCTGAAATAAATTTGGAAAGTCTGGTCAGTTGCTGATACTCATATTTCATGCATGGCATGTTTTCATTTCATGTCTAGTCATATTAAGAATAAACAGATACTGTAATTTGACTTGACTTATAGAATTACAGTGGCTTTAGTGCACAAGCCATGTATGTTTATTGGTTTTGACAGTTTTACTTTGCATGCTCATCTACTTTACTCAATTGTTGAATTATTATAGTTTTGTCTGTATTTTGCTCCTATTTAACTCAGTTTCAGTACTGCCTAAATTTAGCCTTAAATCATGTATTCTAGTATTGGTTTGTATGAAGGTGTTCCAATAAGACTGTTGTCTCTCCAGGTGGTGTTGGTGTTCCCTGGTCCAGGGGCTGTCTCAGTTCAAGACATGATGCAATGTTTACATGACTGGAGTCACAGCAGGTCACTTTACTCCTTTGATGAACCCTGCATAAAGAGGGTCAAAAGTGAGGAAGTTCAAGACGCCACACACACTGCAGAGAACCCAAAGTCAGGGACCCCAGATGAAGCAAAGGGCTTTGAGTCAAGGGTCTGTCCCCTGCAGAGGGTGGTCTTCATTGACAGCACATGGAACCAGACCAACAAGATCAGCACAGACGAGAGACTTCAAGGTAATCATGAAAGACTGCATTTGTGTGGCTTTTCAAAGAGCTCTGACTGTTGGTGATTTTAAGGGGCAAATTTACTTCAATCGCAATTCTGTTTAACATGATCTCATTCAGTGTTCCTGTGTGTTTAACAGAGATGTGTTCTCTTCCAGATTTGCTCCGGGTAGAGCTGAAGATGAGGAAAACATGTTTCTGGCGCCGTCAAAAGGGAAAACCAGACACCTACTTAGCTACTATCGAGGCTATTTATTATTTCCTGAAGGACTTCCATGAGCATTGCCTTGCTCAGGAGTATAATGGAGAATATGATAACCTTCTTTTCTTCTACTCTTATCTGCACTCAGTTGTCAACAAAGCTAAGACTTCTGCTGGAAAGTGCTGAGGAAAAACTGACATCAGCTACAAGAGACTGTTAAACTATAACTGAAGGATTGATTTATGTGCAAGCCCTGATGTCTGGTTTTAAGTTCATTGTGGTGTCAACTGAGACTTAAATTGATCTTTTAGGGCATTTTGTTTTTGCTCTTCCCACCATACTGTGTTGTAAATGAGTACAGTTAGCCTTTTTAAAACTTAACATGTAATAATGTGAAAGGAAGTCAGGCTTCAGAAGCATTTAAATATTTTTATTTACAAATCGTTACACAAGTTATCCCTTATTCTCAAAAAATTCTTATGAATCTTGGGCACCTCTGTAATAGTATCACATTTGTTGCAGACCCAATAAATCAGTTCCCCAAAATATACTGAAAGCCAATGCTGGAAATATGTAAGTGTCAACATGCCTCTGTATTTGACAACTACAATCCATGATGGTAAACTAATGGAGAGTCACTAATAGTAGGCCTCTCTGATCTTGGCTTGCAGGCTGTCACATGTCTTCTTGGCATCTCCCAGCAACATTGATGTGTTAGGCTTGTAGAAAATGGGGTTATCTACTGCAGCGTAGCCCACACCCAAGGTACGCTTCATCACAATCACCTGGAGGAGTAAAATTCAGAGTATATTTACTTTTTGTACCACATCTAAAATGCAGTGACATTGTTGGTGCAGCTTTACATATCAAAGATAGTACAAAACATAAGCAGACCAACCTGTTTGGACTTCCACACCTCCAGGACCGGCATGCCAGCAATTATCGAGTTGGGATCTTCTTGTGCTGCAGAATTCACTGTGTCGTTGGCTCCAATGACCAGAGTCAAGTCTGTCTCTGTGGGCCACAAATATTTATACAGAAGATAGATGAACACAAACCGCCAGAAAAATTCTGCAATTGTCCTGACAAATGTTACTTGGTTCCCTGACACCACACTTATCTCCCTTTGTCATAAACAGAACCATGTGTCTCAGGCTGCATGCCTAGTTGCTAAGAAAACAACAGTTGCCCTGATAACATGGCATGTCTAATTATCGAGGCGCAACACTGGCTGCTCAAAGCAGTAACTATTAGCAGCTCTCTTTAGATTTTTTTTTTTTTTTTATTAAAGCATTTACCTGGGAAGTCCTCATTGATCTCATCCATCTCCAGGACCACGTCATAGGGAACACCAGCTTCAGCCAAGAGGACGTTCAGCTGGCCAGGCATGCGTCCGGCCACCGGGTGGATACCAAACCTGTTGGAGATGGATGCAACACATTACTGCTCAAACGCTTTGATTTTCACTGAAAACTCACTACTCCCTGATCTATGATGCCCTGCTCCTGTAGTGCCAAAAGTACAAATGCACCCGTCTCTCAGTAAACAAGTTCAGATTTGTTGTAAAGCACAAAAATAAAGAAAGCACTGGTAGAATATACAGTGGTAATTCTTGTTTATAAAAAGGAGATGTGTATAGACATTCACCTGACATTCTTGCCCTGTTCCTTGAGCATCTTCACCATGTCTGCAATTGGGTACTGGGCTTTTGCTGCACACAGACCCCAGCCTAAACAAAACAAAAAACAACAACATACAGAGAATCAACATGCAATGCCCCCCCCCAAAAAAGCAGTTTTAATATTGTCTGGAGATTTTGAATACTTCCCTTGTTGCTTGAGTTGATGATTCAATAGCATTTCCTATTCTTGATTAATGTTTGGTCTATTGTCCAATTTGAATGTACTGTATAACCCATTTCAGACATTGTTCATTTTTAGATGAAAGCACAACAATCCAGTAGGGGTTCAGCAACAATAAAAACAGTTATTCCTCTAGCCTTCATTCTTTTTGTCCCACTCTCCGTGTCCTTATCTACCACAAGTCTCCTCACTGTATTAAATCAGTGGTTTATTGGTCTGAGACATTTTTCTTAGGGAAAAGTTTGCATGCGTGGTGTGCATTTGGGTCCCCTGCATGCAAAGAATCCCTTTCCCTGTGTCTGCATAACCCCTATTTAACCCTGGTGTTCAGATACCATGTAGAGTTCAGCATTACCCCTAATCGAATTTTCTAAGCCAGTCGCCCATAACCCATATTCTTCATTTCCCAAGACAACTGGAGCCTTCTGTTTCCTCACTGCTGGGCTTTGTTGTCGACAGCGCATGGCGAAGTCTTGAGTCTGGACTCAAAGCTCTTATGACTTTTCACTGTTTCACTAATCAAACCAGTATGTTGGACCACACAGCTGTCCATTCGTTGGTTTGGAGCCACTTGAGAACAATGGCTATCTAAGACTGGTTCTTCTTGCTCAGGCCACTCAACAACTACTGAGACACAAGTTTGGCTTTTTCTACTAAATGAATCAAGATGTGGTCATCAGCTCACGCTCAAAAATCAAACCCATCATTCTTTAACTCTTTTCTAACAAGTACTGACACACAGATATTATATACTGTGCTCAAGATCAGGTGGCTGTTGGATCAATTGTGAACAAACTGCCCCCTCTTGTGGTTTTGGTGCTTCAATAGTTTAATTACTACCATATAAAATCAGTCCATAAGCATCTAGCTTTCCCAGAGCTGCTGCAAAAACATTTGATCCACATTTTGGCAGAGCAGTCAGGCTCAGCCTTTTTGTTAGGTGAGATTAACTGGATGAGAGCGATAGTAGCTGTTATTTATCTAGTCTGAATAGCTGCAGCTGGAGTGCAGAGGAGAATCCAAGCTGTCCAATGATGAAAGAATGCGATATTAAAAAGTTGTGCTGCATCTTCGTCTCTGATGTCAAACCAAACATCTTTCTACACCTGTCTCTCCCAAAGGCTCCAGTCTTTTTCACAAGTGTCTCCACTGTCTGCTGGGAGGAAGGCCTTTTTCTACTGAATATGTATGCATGGTTTAAAATTACTGCCAAAGTCTTGTAAAACTGGTCTTTACCTGATTAAAATGAGAAAAACGACAGACTTTTGCAGGTTATTTTTGCAGGGGTCACATTTGAATGGTTTGGTTCAACCAAAATTCTAACTTTATTCTCAAACATACATGTTCACTACTATGCAGTCTGACCATGAGCTATTCAAAATAAAATTATATCAAAAATGCTGAGATGATGAATTGCCTTCAAGTGATTTCACTTGAATCTGACCTGTTGGGTCTGAAGACTGCGAGTTTGAAAAAAATAATATCTGAGGGTGTGGAGAAGTGAGGTTACCATATATCTATAGCCCACTCATCTCCGCTTGAGGCTAGCGGCTCAAGGCTACATTACCCGCTACTGGCATAACACCTGCTGCAGCAATTGTAATCTTTTTTTTTTTTTTTTTTTTTTTTTAAACTGTCCATCATGAGTCCGACAATGTTGTATGGGCACAATGCTAAAATCGGTGGAGTACTTGTTTAACATTAACATGTTTAGCCAGTTTCTTCAAAAAACCTCTGTCACTTTGTTTACTGTATAACAAAAATGCTTTGCCAACCTTAGCAGGTGAGCCCATATGGTAATTTCGGCCACAAAGTTGAAAATTACAATGCATTTGTGAGTCCACTTTTTATTTATAATGCATGTGTTGCATGTACCTGGTGTGATAATGATGCTGCTGGCTTCTTTGATTATGTCAATTGTCTGGTCCAAGTTGACCTCAGTGTGAGTGCCAACAATCTCCATGGGCTTACCCCCCGCTGTGGAGGTGGTGCCGTACCCACCCAGGATCACATTGGGCAGGGAGCGGTTCATAGCCTTGGAAGAGAATGACATTAACGCCATTGCAGGTAATTGTGGTGAGTATACTGTGCAAGTTCAATTTTATTTATATAGCACTAAAACATAACAGAAGTGATCTCAGGGCACTTTTCATATAGAGCAGGTACTTTTTAATATGTTCACACATGTGGTTGGATTTGTGCATCTACTCACCACACACATGATGTAGGAGAGGATGGCACCGGAGGAGCCAATCAGAGCTCCGACAATCGTCATGAGATTGTTGTCTAGTAAGAAACCTTCAGCACAGAGTGCCCATCCAGAGTAGCTGTTCAACACGGTGATGACCACGGGCATGTCAGCGCCCCCAATGGCTGCTGTCAGGGTTACACCCTATGGGAAGGAGTTAGTAAAACATTTTAAAATATACATATATATAATTTAAAGCAATGTATTAAAGTGTTTGAAATTCTAGTACATTACTTTTTTTTTTTTAAATAAATGGATAAAGTCTATTTTTACTGATAGTTGCGCATCTTTAAATCTGAATAAATAAAAATTATTCCCCTGTTCAAGCTTAGTGAATCATTGAAACTCACCATAATAGTGGACAGCCCAGACACTCCCACTAGACACCCCATGCCAGTACTGTAGCTGGAACTGAGCATAAAGGGCACCATGCCTCCTACTGACGCTGCCATCAGGCCAGCGTTTAACATGTGCCGTCCCGGCAACATCAGGGGGGCGGAGTTCAGGATGCCTACAACCAAAGAAATGTCAAACATTTTCAGAGCAGTCAGTTACTCTTTTGTAAGGCTTAAGGGAAATAATTTGACACGATAAGACATGTAAACAAGCTTTTATGTTAAGCAGCGTTGAGTGTCTTTGGACTCTCAGAGGCCTGTGGAGGCCTCTAATCAGCTGACTAAGAGTCTGTTCCATCCACAAATCAGACATCAGCCCTCCACCAACCACAGCCATGCAGCTGCTGCCCTGTCCTACCCGTAAGAAATTACCAGAAAGCTTCTCATGTGTTCCTCTTGATCAGTTGCACTACAATGTAAGTTAGCGACTGCTGACACATGCACACAAACCCCCATTCCAGGCCTGGATTTACCAGGGGATCTTTGGCTTTAACTAGATGAAAGAGATAATCAGTGCCAGAGAACACAAAGCTTAGTATGTTTATACTGAGATTAGTGTGTGTCTGTGACAAATCAAGATCAGACTTGTAAACACAATAGTCTAGAAATTGTAAAACTTGTCACATGCACAATATCTATGTACTTATATACTGTAGATATTACTAATATTTTTAAAGTAAAATACATTACCTTGAAGCTTGCCGTAGGCCACCAGTGAGCCACTGAAAGTGACACCTCCAATGTAGGTGCCCAGATAGGCCACGGTCTTGACTACACCAGCGGCTGGGTGAGTGTCCAGGTGGGGGTACTCAATCATGAATTCTGCCACACAGGTGAGAACAGCTGCCAACCCCACAAGGCTGTGGAAGGCCGCCACGAGCTGCGGCAAGTCTGAGATTTCAATACGCTTGGCAATGGTCAGGCCTGCAGTAGAGATATGGTCAGTTTTCAGGAAATGAGTTATTACAGTATGTCTGGTTGAGTCAAGCACCAGACACCGAATTTCTCAGCGGCTATGTTTGACTACAAAAATGTCAAAATAT